AACTTTGCCCTGGGGTATTAACACCCTCATAATTCCCTTGATACATAAATAACTATTTCATGACAAATTATAAATTTATAAAACCGCTGGCGCCAGCGTTGCCAGACGTACGACAGGTGTGGTATTTGTACGACAGTTCGGGGCATGTTCGTTACAAGAAAATCAATGCGTACGGTAGTACGGTAATGTACCACAGTTTTGAAATCTTGGGTTGAGTGGGTAATATTTTATGGTAATATGTACCTGTCTAAATTCTCCTTTTTGCTTATGAATGTTGGTCAAATTGGGAGAAAAATGTAGAACAGAGTTGCTTGGAAACAGTCTATAAGGCAATTTTTCGCGAAAATAATCAAGCATAATCGATTTTGCTGGATTATGTGATGTGTCAATTGTGTCATACTCTCCTTACTCCGTCGGGGACCAAGAACACCTAATTTCTTCTGTGAGAAGAGACCCAAAATCATTTTTTCTATATTCAAAATCGACGAAAAAATTAACTCATAGCACAGCCTGAATCGCGAGCATTCCATCGAGGTCTACGGGTGACGTCATCATTATAATCTGTTGATAGTGACGTCACTCGCAGGCCCAAAAATTCATGGGGAGGGAGTTATAGGGGAGTATGACACAATTGACACATCAAATAACCCAGCATAATCAGATTATGCTTGATTATCCTTGCGAAAAATTGCCTTATAAGCTTGAGAAAGTTGAGCATTTATCAATGTTCGAGGATTATCCCGATAGAAATTTTCTTGTTAGGAATTTTCATATTAAGTTAGCAATTATTGTCAACGTTACAAAAGAATCTATTTCCAATTTGACTTATTATCCACAAAGTATTTTAATCGAGATGACTTTAGTAAATTTATTAAATAGTTTTATTTGATTTCCGGACACTCCCGTTGCTGTAATTTTTAATGCAAGGTCTATTTTCAAGTTTTCAACATTTTGCGCTCTCAAAAAATCATATTTTTTAAGTAAATATATACCTGCTAAAAATGTAAAGTAATATGTACCACAAGTATTTGTGGCGCGTACGTCCCTGTACGACAGTTTTTGAGCATTGTGTACCACACTTTCATATTTAGAGTCTGGCAACACTGGCTGGCGCAAACAGCTAGCGACTTAGTTATGACGTCAGCAGTGGTTGGAAACAGTTGAAAACCAATATGGCGGGTTGAAAACCAATATGGCGGCGATTACCAAAAACGAGGCCGATAAGCACTCCTTAGAAAGTGTATTCTCCTTGCGAAAAGGCAAAGTATGGATAAAAATCACACGGTTTTCGACGTTCAGAAAGGTGGTTGTCACGCAAGGAGAATACACACTCTTGACTCTAAGGCCCAGTTGTGCAATCTTGGTTCAAAACAGAGTTCAGCTGAACTCGACTGGTACTTGAATCGTATGTACCCCACATGTACAAAATGAAAAAAAAACTAAAAAAACAGAAAATCATGTCTTGTCGATTCTTGAAATATAGGTTATGTGGTGTGAAACTATCATACTTTGTACGCATACCCCTTTAAAACTTAAAAATGACATTACCAAATCGTGCAAACCCTTACGAGTAGAGGACATAATACTTAGTTGGGTCACTATTTATGTATTTCTGGCGATTACTCCCAAATTTCTCAAGATACCGGCACAAAATTTTGTCTGGCGTATTAGGCATTCTAGGTTGACGTCATAACCGATCCGCCATTTTAGCTGCGGGGCAAACAAAAGCCAAACATAATCTGATTTAATGTTATTTTCAATGCAAACCGAGAATTTTTGAAGTATTATTTTGTTTAGATGCCTTCGTTTTGTGGCGTTTTTGGGTGCTCCAATAGTGCTGAAAGGGATAAAGTGAGGTTTTTCAGAATTCCAGCAGCATTTAAAGATCGAGGGGATCGCATAAACGAGCTATCAAAAAAACAACGGAGTATGTGAATTAGATGCCTCAATAGGGGAGATTTGCCTGCGTTGTTAAAAATGCACGAATTTGTTCGAAACATTTTGTTAATGGTAAGTTTTATGACTGTCTTGTTAAAATTCAAAAACACTTCATCTCGGTACATCAAAAAAGTTGTTTATGTTTCTACAAGTATATAGGTAACTTTTAATACCTTTTAGGTAGTCCAGCAGAATTTAAGGATACAAACCAATGAACTATAGCTTAAAACTGGAATGCGCACACATTGCCATATCTGCCAAAAAAATGAAGCCATGAAAGACAGATGCCACAAGGGGGAATGTTGTTTTTTTTCTGTTGCTCGCTGACATATGACGTTTTCGAAAGTTTTGTCATATTTCCCTTCCTTCACAGGTTTCATCAATAGTTGTATTCCTTTCACACTTAGGAGGAGCTCCGGAACAGCTCCGGGGCTTCACGCGCTTATTCCTTTCGAAAAGTGTTTGTTGCTGTTGCACCACGCATATGTTCCCTGTAAATCGGGGGCGACTAAGCACCGAAGCGAGTAGCTCGAGTGTTTCAAGCTCTTGAAAGGAATACGTGTTGGAAGCAATTTTCGCCATTTAACATAATGAGTGCGACAAAAACAGGTATCCCCTCCGCAGCAGCCGCACTGGGCTTCACGTTCGTCCATATTTGTTCGCATTCCAGTTTTTGGTTATAGTTCATTGATACAAACAATCAGTCAAAACGTTTGAGGAGTCATTCTACCACAAATTTATTTTGCTAAAGTTTATTTGTAGGTTGTTAGTATCAAACTTTTTTATTTTTTAAACAATTTAGATTCTTAAGCATTATTTTTGTTAATAAATTGTTTGTTTACTATTGTTGAATTGAAATGTAAAGTGGCATGTCTGTAAATAAAGATTCATTAATTCATTCCATTCATTCACAAAAACTAAAAACAACTTAAAATTTATTGAATAAATCAAAAAACGCAAAAATTCCAAAGCACAAACTCAAAAAACATTGTAAACAATGATCTATAGGCTTATAGGCTTTGTTTGCCCCTCAGCTAATATGGCGGACCTGTCAAAAGTCACGTGACCTGAGGCGTTTTCTCGCGGGGCGAATGGTTCGAACTACGGTTTAAACCAATTTGTAGATGACGTCATCACTTGTGAACGCGAGAAAATGGAAGGTTTGAACCACAGTCTTATGTCAACGGAGAACAAGCCATGAGTCCGGTTCGAACTTTTTTGAACCAGGTTCAATGTGACGTCACTGGTTCAACGCAAGAATGAACAGGTTCGAACCTAATTGAACCGGGTCGAACCAGTTCCACCGCGAGAAAACAGCTCTGAGCTGCTTTCCAGTGCCTAAATTGTTAAGCCTAGTCTCCATAGACGCGAAATCGCGGAAAGCGAATTTTTTAAGTGTCATTTTTTGGTGGCTATTTCCGAGCAAATTATTCCCATGTCTCCATAAACGCGAAATTCGCGTTTTATTTAACAGGTTAAGGTTATGTGTTGTTGTTTGTAATCAATTTGAATTTGATTTAAATGCTTTGAATTTCAAACACTAATCTTTGAAAACCATGAAAGTGATTACTAAAAAACAAAAAAAGATATGTGTCTTGGTGTTGTCTTAATTACATTTAAGGCCCTATTATAATCTTCTTCATCAACCAGCAAGCTGTAATTTATGTCTGTTTTCGGGTCTACAATATTCAATTCTTTGGCAGTATCCATTCTTTATTAGGTATCTACAAGTACAAAACACATCAACGACTCACAGAGGACAGAGCACAGAACAGAGCACATACCGACAAAAACATAAACAAAACTAAACTGAAAGTAACACCACATAACCTCATTTTTTTTTGGCGAAATTTCGCGGAAAGTTAAAAAATAGTTAACTTTTTTGCGACGCCGCAAGAAGTTAAAAAATTCGCGAATTTTTCCCGCCATAAAAAAATCAAATGTTAAATGTCAAATTCCAACCAATCGGAAAATATCCGCAAAAAAAAATTCGCGATTTCGCGTCCATGGAGACTAGGCTTTAGAGTATCATGCTCCTGGAGTGTGACGCTCTTGAACTGTTCGACATAAGCAGCACTGGAACGCTCTCGTCTTAACCCCCACCATTTCGTACTTCAGGAGCATGGAACACCTAAATAAAGGTTGGTGCGCGAGGGGGCAGGGGATAACAGAAATGAGTAGTTCAAGTGTACGACACTCTAAGCACTCAGAGGTGCTTTCCAGTGACCCATTTGAGTTACTCCTGAGCAGCTCAGGAGTGCTCCACAATTGCTTTGCGCGTTCCAGTGCTTAGAGTGTCGTACACTTGAGCTACTCATTTCTGTTATCCCCTGCCCTCTCGTGCACCAACCCTTTTGTCTGTGTTTCATGCTCCTGAAATCCTGAATGGTAGGGGCTAAGACGAGAGCGTTCCAGTGCTGGTTATGTCGAACAGTTCAAGAGCGTCACACTTCAGGAGCATGATACTCTAACAATTTAGGCACTGGAAAGCGGCTCTGGAATGCCTAATCAATGAATAAGCAGGATCTGGTACCAACTGTTAAAATACCGAAACGCGTTTAGTTTTGGAAGGCGCCCCCTCTACCCTACAACCGGGCCTTGTACTGAGTTCACGTGTCCCTATCCTCTCGCTTCTATCTACTAGTTGTATTATTCCTTTCACACCTAGGAGGAGCTCCGTGGCGTTTCGCGCTTATTTATTTCGAAAAGTGTTTGTAGCACCCCGCATCTCTCCCTTTAAAATCGGGGTCGACAAACACTGGAGCGAGTAGCTCGAGTGTTCCAAACTCTTGAAAGGAATTTAACTACTACGGCCGGGACTGACAGCGTTGGGCCTTCACTCATGGGCCGAGTTCGTTTTTGTCATCTTTTCCGTTGATTTGCTCCAAAATTTTGACAGGCACGTGATTTGTAAATTAAAACTGTCCGATCCAGTCACGTGCCTGTCAAAATTCCGGAGGAAATCGACGAAAAAGACGACAAAAACGAACTCGGCCTTGCTACGATTGCTACGTCACGTCACCATGATCAATCATATTTGCGTCATTTGTCTACTTTGTCATTTAAAAAAAAAAAATTATTATTGAAAATGGCGGACGAAATCGTGCGCGTGTCACAACAACAAACAAAGCCGATAAAAATAGCAAAATGGAAAATCCGGCAAGGAGTTACAGTTCCCGTAGGTCGGATTATACTTCTATACGATTTCCTGGACCTCCCGAAAGTCGAACAGAAAAAATTAAAAGCATGTCAAGCCGGAATAATACACAAGATCTTGGCGGAAGAGGGAAAAGTGGTGCAACCTGGGTATGTTTATTTAAATAGTTGGCGGGAAAACAGGATTTTTTTCCTATTTGGGGCAAACTATTGAAAGGGGTTTTACTTACTTTTTTAACATGGGACTTAATTATCATTAGTATTGGTGATTGAACCGTGAATAAATTAATTCAGTCTATTGAATAAAAAAAAGTTTTACCTTGCAGGTCATAACTTATAAGAATAAGGTAAAACTTCTAGAAGAAGCTAACTTATTTTTATTTGAATAAAAACTAGAAATCTCTTTAAAAAGTAAATACCGGAAAATGTTTTTCCATTTTGAGTAATTACTTGTAAGTACCTACCTGGGTACCTACTTATAAGTATTTTATTTACTTTTTTCGTTGCATATTTTGTGTTTGATGTGGTGTACTTAAGTAAAATTCGTCTACACTTGTAATCGAGCTTGTAATCTTGTAATCATTTATTTTGCATCACAACTTACTTGCACATTTATGCTAGAAACTTCATTTTTCTATTAATAGAATCATCCCCAAATTCTGGTGGTTTTTTAATCTGAATATGCATACAATCGACAGCACCATTTTATTCTTGCTTCTTTCATAGCATCTAGCGAGGCATCTATATATATTGTTTGCCCAGCGGTTCTGAGTCTACGGAAGTAATTCAGACGTAAATATATGCATGTTGTTTTATTCACCATTCTGTTGGCAACGTTGTCTGGCTGTTGGTCATCAGAGAATTTCGGTTCTTGTTGTTGTGCTGGTGAGTGGATGGATAAAACAACGGGTAGAAAACTTTTAATAAACGTTCAGACACAAACAGTAAATTCAAAGTTTTCATAGTTCAATGCGACCTGCACTTGGTTGCTAGGCATAATTGAAAACTTCTTATTCTGTTCAACTTCAATCTAATCTCTACTTGAAATCTGGATGCCATAAAACAGTCAACACTGCTAAAAACCATGTCCTTACAACGTTGGCTTGGTGGCTTCAACGGTGTACCCATCGTAAAACGCCCATGGAAAAAACAACACTTCTGATGGAGCATCGACTGTTCTTATGTTGAATTTAACAACGCTTAAGCCGGGTCCAGACCAATAAATATTTACGTTGACGCAAAGGACATGGCACTAAATATTAGAATCCTGGTGATCGGCCGATTTTTTTAAAACTGTAGTATGTTATTCTATACCTGGAAACAAGCATTTCTGCTTATGGTCAGTTCTTTGTACGAGTATGGGATGTCCCAGAAAATTGAGTTCAAAGTTTGTATATGAAATATATGGCCTATTCGGGTTTGGAAAAAGTACGGTCCTAGAACGGTCCAAAAGAATCGCACAGTTTATTATTGAAATTTGTGATAGCCCAGTCGTTGTCATTTTGTTGATTGATGAACTGTGCGATTGTTTTGAACCGTTCTAGAACCGTCTTTTTTCCAAACCCGAATAGGCCTATTTTCTTTGAAGCATAAACTTATGTTTAACCGTTGTTTAACTGATCTGTTATGTGATTTTGCAACTTATACATTAAAGACAAAGCTATTTATGTAGTTGAGGACAAAAATTATTATACAGGGTGTCTCAAAAATTATATTTTAAACTAAACTACTCTCTAAAGAAAGCCAATAACTAAAACAACTGCTACAAAACTATATTAACCTAAAATATCAATAATCAGGCTTATGATGTATCCTGTCCTGTTATTTTAACGGCTGTGTTAAGGCTCAACATCTATTTGTATCTCATTTTTGACATATAGAATAAACAGTGACAGATAACTTAACGTTGCTGTTGAAATAACAGAAAATGATACATCATAGGCCTGAATAACTACAAACATTGTAACAATGATCACTAGAGACTATTTGAAGTAGCTGTTGTTCCTCGGAAACAATTTGGATTTAATACTGTAGAAATAGATCAATAAATACAAAAATATGCCATATAGGCCTTGTGGTAACCTGCACTGGCTATCGGACTCATATTTGCGGGTTGACTACATGGAATATTCTAAAGCTTGACCAGAGGTTTTGGCTTAACCACACATTATGAAACAGATATATTGTAGGTTACCAGTGTCTTTTGTTTACTGTTGGGTTACCACTGTTTGTGAAACTGGCTCTAACTGTGTTGTTAATACAACAGACCAATACATATTCAAAATCACTAAACCTATACATCAAACATTTGATATAAACTTTTGAACTCAATTTTTTTTTTTACCGTTATTTTGGTTATTGGCTTTCTTCAGGGTGTAGTTGGGTGGTTTAAAATAAAATTGTTGAGACACCCTGTATAATAATTTTTGTTCTTAACTACATAAATATCTTTGTCTTTAATGTATAAGTTGCAAAAATAGATAACAGATTAGATAAACATAATTTATGCTTCATACAAAATATTCCATATAAAAACTTTGGACTTAATTTTCTGGGACATCCCATACTCCTACAAAAAAGTGACCATAAGCAAAAATGCTTGTTTTCAGGTATAGAATAACATACTTCAGTTTTAAAAAAATCGACCGATTACCAGGATTCTAATATTTAGTGCCATGTCCTTTGCTCGTGTTCGTCAAAATATTTATAGATGTGGACTGTGCGCCGCACAAAGAACCAAGCAAAAATGTGAGTCAGATACAACACACGCTATCCGCGGTCTGTCGGTTTTTCGACGAACATCAGAGATTTGCGTCGAACGCTTGTGTTGATGTGGACTTGAATAATTTTTTAAAAGTATTTTTATGAAATATTTTTGTCTCTAGTTAGTGTTTCTGTACTATCATGTCCTCCCAACTCGGTATTAAAAAAAAAGTGTGCAGTTTATAATACTGAATTACGTACGACATAAGAATAATAAGAGAGAAAATGGTAAACATAGACGTTACTGGACAACACAAGTTTTTCAGTATAGAAGCCAGAGTGGTGGTGGAAACCTATTGAAAACTTTAGCAATTGATGAGATAATGGGGCAATTTATGTCTTATGATTTATCTACTAACCAGTAACCATGCACGACGCACGAAAATGGATCGCAGAAAAATATACCCACGCCGCGCACATATTTGCGCGAAAAAGTCACAACAAAAAAGTATTTGCGCCACAAATATTTTTGTCGAATTCAACACACAACATTCAACACACAAATTTATTGGTCTGAACCCGGCTTTAGATGCGCAACGCTGCCAACGTTGCTTCAACAGTTGAATAAAACAACATGCGTTATACGATGTTGTCACCTGTCACGTTTAATAATAATAAAGCGAAAATACTAGGCATGAAGTATATATAGTTCATTTGAAAATCCATTTTTCAATAACAAAACATAGATAACAATAAAACGCTTAATATTTCAACGTGGTTGTTAGATCTATGCTTATTCTAATACAGCGGTTCCCAAACTGGGGGGCGCGCCCCCTGGGGGGGCGTGAAGCAACATTAAGGGGGGCGTGAGTCTTCTAAAAAATTAATACAAGTTTTAAGATTTAAAATAAAAAAATCAGTTAAAATTTAAAAAAAGATGTCTACAATCCGGCAACAGCGCATACCTAAGCCAAACTTTGCCATGCGATAATTGCTACACGCGCACGCTCGCTGCCCACTGTCATGCCCATTCCTCCCCTTCCAAAGTTCAGAACTGCTTCCGGGTGCCATCCGTTGAGCGCTCCCGAGTTACTCCGAAGTACTCCGGCTACAGTTTGACCCGTTCGGTTTCAAGTGTTCGAGTGCAAAACGCATGGAGTATAAAGGACTATTCACACACATCAGTTCCGTATCAGTTCCAGTTCAGTATAATTGACGTCCTATTTTTGTATGTGTGGTGTGTTTGGATGCTTTTGCACTCAGCATAGAAATTTTCTGACATTGCTTTTTCATGTATTTGATTTCGTTGGCAAGAAGAAAATAAATAAATAATAAATACCTATTTGGTATCGGGTATCACTAACATATCGCAGAAATATTTGCATCTATTGCCGAGCAGTAAGTGCACCTCTTCTGGATTCATCTACCTCTGGTAAAAAATAATCCGAAAGATAATCTATATTTTCACTCACTTTGAAACCGCATCAAGACCTTAGATTTGCTGAGGCTGATGTTTCGTCTCTCCTTGCAGTTCTTCCTGTTACGAACATTTATATAAAATTTTATATAAAATTTGTATAAATCCACCATGATCAACAATGAAATGAATTTTCTAACAACTACAGTGAAAAAGTATGCTTTAAGGTACCCTAAAAATCATAAAGTTCTCACCGACTAATTTAGGACAGATCTTATTTTTATCCACATAAAAATAAGCCAGTGCTGGAAAAATATAAGTAAATCCTTACATTTTAAGTAATAAAGTTGCTTTGTCAATAAGTTTGCACAAATTTCTGACAATAAAGCTTATTTTGATTTGATTTGATTTGAACTACTTGAAACCAGTAAGAGTTTGCTCATGGTCAGTGCCGGATTTAGGCCTTATGCCGCTGGGTACAGATTTATCGGATCGCCCCTCCTCTACCCCATTACAGAAAATAAAACAAGTTAAATATAAACGTAGGTATAGGCTTAGACCAATAGTATATTGTGCAACGCCAACAAGTGTTGAAAAGTGCTTTTCACACACGTTACACACTATACTTTTTCTACTGACATTTCATAATACGCTATTAAACGATTAAAATCTCTATTATAATGAACTTCATTACGATACAGATTTTCATTATAATACTCATTTTTAATATTATACAATGTTGATAGATGGCAGCACTAGTTAAGATATTGAACATTTTTAACAGTAATTTTGCGTAAAACAATTATTTTGATAACTATAAAAAAGACTTCGAATTGTTTAAAAGTTACCTAAAGTTTGGGACAATGAATAATTATTATAGAAATAATGAGTGATAAGGAAGAATTTTTACTTTTTTAATTATTATACATTGTCAATAGATGGCGCCACCAGTTAAGAAATTTTGAATTTTTTTTTTTTTTTTTGAATGATGACAGCACTTTGTTTATAGCTTTTCCATGGTAATTTAGCGGAAAACAATAATTTCATGAGAAAAATACTTCGAATTGTTATTAAAAGTTACCTACTTAATGTTTGGCCTAAGGCATTATTATGGAAATTTCCCTTGTGCATATTTAACTGGAAATTTACCTCGTAATTTTCAAAAATTGACAAGTGGAAATATCCCTGGTGAGAGGGATATTTCCGGGTGCAATTTCCAGTGCGACAATGCCGCGCGGCGTCTGTCGGAAACCCACCTTTAGGTTGTCATTTTTGGCATTGAGACCAGCTTTTCCATTTAAAATGCATTGATGTCAGAAATCTGACAAAGTGTATATTTTTTGACAAACGCAATTTAAATGGGAAATATCAATAACAATCACCATCACAGAACACATCATCATAATTAAAATATTCGCCACAACTTATAATAAATAAACTTCAAACTCGGGAAATTTCCTATCAAAATATAACACGTGCATAAAATATTTCCTAAGGGAAATTTTTAAAAATTTGGTCTTTAGTCAATTTTTTTAAACAAAACCATTCGTGCATAGCGCCAAAGAAAAAATCCCTCACCCTTCGGGTTCGGGATTTTTTCAGGCGCTATGCACTCATGATTTTGTCAAAAAATTGGCTTCAGACAAAATTTTCAAAAATTTCCGGAAATATTATATTTCTACTGGAAATATTGAGTGATAACCAAGAATTTTCACTAACACCCCCAGAAATTACAGAAAAGGCGACAAATGCAGGTAATAATATACTACCGGACAAGTCCAAGAAGATTTGCGAAAAATGATATGGACAATTTATGGATTGGAAACACCAAAAACACATCGTCCTTCTCAGAAAATGTTTTGATAGTATATTTTGAAGAATTACAACAAAAAATGAAACCTTCAACTGTATGGATTACTCAATTATAAAATCTCTATTCAAAGTCAAGCATAATATTGACATATCTAAATATCATAAGTTTTATCAATGGCAATAGAAAAAATAGTGTATGCAACTCTCATGTAATGGCCATTAATACACTCGCATGTTATATACGAAACTCGCCTGCGGCTCGTTTCGTATCCTACAACATGCTCGTGTATTAATGGCTATCATTACATGATCATTGCATGATATACTATTTTCTACGACTGCGAAATAACTATAGGTATTCACATTGAGATTTTTTTTTTGAAGTGAAAACTTCTTTAGAATCGTTGGGAGTGATTTGAGATGATGAAACGAAAAAGCGACCCTGAAATGAAAAAGCGACCCTGAAACGAAAAAGTAACACTTTTTTAACACGCTTATATTAACACACAACACGAACCTGGAACAAGCCAAGTGAGCTGGAACAAGTCTGGAAAATGTCTGGATAAATCTGGATGAAGTCTGGAAATCTCTGGAAACGTCTGGAAATTTCTGGAAAGGGTCGGAAAAATTCTGCCAAAGGTCCCAAAAGACCTGGGGATCATTTTCCAGAATCCGGATCAGTCTGTACAAGTCTGGATAAAGTCTGTAAAACTCTGGATAAGTCTGGATATTATCTGGAAAAGTCTGGAAACGTCTGGAAAAGACTTGGAAATTTCTGGAAAGGGTTGGAAAAATTCTGAAAAAGGTCCCAAAAGACCTGGGGATCATTTTCCAGAATTCGGATCAGCCTGAACAAGTCTGGATTAATCTGGATGAAGTCTGGAAAATTCTGGAAAGCCATGGATAAGTCTGGATAATGTCTGGAAAACTCTGGAAACGTCTGGAAAAGGCCTGAAAATTTCTTGAAAGGGGCGGAAAAATTCTGGAAAAGGTCCCAAAAGACCTGGGGATCATTTTCCAGAATCCGGATCAGTCTGTACCGTGCGTTCAATTTATCTTGATAACATTTTAATTCGCTGTAACTTTTTTGTTTTTGAAGGTATCAAGGTAAATAAAAAAACAAAATGTAGGGTTAGTAGCCAAGTTTTTTTTCAAGTTACCTATAAAACAAAACACTATCAATTTTCTGACATATGAGCCAACATTATATTTTTTTAAGTGGAACACCCTGTATATTATATATGTGTTTGATAGAATATCTTATTCCGATTACAATGATATAATACACTGTATATTTTAGTCCACTCGTTTTTGACAAATCGGCAAAAATATATGAAACTTTTGAAGTGAAACTTATTAGGCGGCGATCTGATATTTGGGGAGAGAATCATTGATAGTGCATATAAAAATATCATATTTTTGCCGATTTGTCAAAAACGAGTGGACTAAAATATAAAGTGTTTTATATCATTGTAATCGAAATAAGATATTCTATCAAACGCATATATAATATACAGGGTGTTCCATTTGAAAAAATATAATGTAGGCTCATATGTCATAAAATTGATAGTGTTTTGCTTTATGGGTACCTTGAAAAAAAACTTGGCTACCAACCCTACATTTTGTTTTTTTGTTTACCTTGATACCTTCAGAAACAAAAAAGTTACAGCGAATTAAAATGTTATCAAGATAAATTGAATGCACGGTACAAGTCTGGATAAATCTGGATGAAACCTGGAAAACTCTGAATAAGTCTGGATAATGTCTGGAAAAGTCTGGAAATCTCTGGGGCTGACACGCTTTTATAATACATCCAACTAAAAAGTGAAAAATAAATATATTTTAAAAAACTAAAAAACACGCTTTTATAGTAAATTGAATTAAAAAGTGAAAAATAATTTTTAATATAAACAAAAAATATTAATAATGTAGAAGAAGTTCGTGGCCCCAAATAGATTCAAAGGAAGAAGGAAGTAGTCGGATAAGAACAAAAAATAAAAGCCAATCAAATACTCGCCGACGTTTCGCCTTTATTGTTTAAAGGCATCTTCAGGGCTAAAAAACAGTTAGGGACTTATGAATGCCGAATAAATAAAATTAAACAAAATTTACCTTGTATTCAAAACATATTAAAAGCTGATTGTAAAACATATAGGTAAGTAAGATTTTACGGTCTGAGTTGTTACAACATACGAACAATAAAAGAGTTAAAAACATGAACAATACAAAAAGAACAACTCAGATACTTAGGAACAATCAAAAAACAAAGTTATGGCAAGGGTACAGAATCAACTAACCTAAGAATAAAACTACTGTTATTAACGATTTTAAATTTGAATTCAAACAAATGAATAGGTGTCTGCATCTAGGTGGCGATAAACAAAATAGGCACGACCCGATACACTTTAACAATAATAAAAACTTTAGGTCAAGGCAAACATAAAACACTAATCCCTCAACAAATTCCAGTAGATGGCAGCAAGTATCAGTTTTAAAATTAACTGTGATATCTTTGAATTTGTTAATGTATAGCATTTCTAGTATTTTTCTTTTTTGCCAATTGACCTCTCTAGCAACTATGCTTGCATTGTCAAAATCGACAATATGACCTGTATTAAAATGATGCGTAGCCAATGCAGTCTTCTCACTTTTATCTTGGTTGAGAATACGACAATCATACTTATGTTGGTACAACCTCTTAGACAATTTCTGTTTTGTCTCACCTGTATAAATTTTATCACAATTTGAACAATTGATCCTATATACCAAGCTAGACCTATCACCCAACGAGACTACCTATGTCTTTACTTCTAGTAAATAAATTATTCACAGTCTTTATCCAGGAACGTCTGCAACATCTAACGAGGATTGGAACAAGTTCCTTATACTACTGCAGCTATCTGTTCAGATAACTCAGGAATGACGACCATTTCATTCTCAAGGGATTGAAACCATTGAAGGTGATAATCAATAATTTTCTCTTTTAGATTCTCCACAATTTCTGTTTCTGATGCTTCAGCCATTATGCATAGTTACCTATGTTCAAAAACGTGCGACTCACAACACAACACTCACAATCTGTGCTATGCCCTTCATACGTAAGACCAATGCAACGCTGCGCGGGTTTTGAGGTGGAGGTTAAAGCTCAATTCTCACTTGCGCGAAATTCGCTCCTTTTTGACATTGCTTCGACAATTTGACGTTTTATACACGCATAAAACGTCAAATTGTCGAAGCATTGTCAAAAAAAGAGCGACTTTCGCGCAAGTGAGAATGAGGTATAAGGCGTGTTGCCAAATGCAGAAAAATATATATTGGCAATGCGACCCCTCCAAAAACTCTATACGACCCCCTTAGGGGTCGCGACGGTTGGGAACCGCTGGTCTAGGAGATAAAGAAATATTTGTCTTTTAATTCTGAGACAGAGCAAGCTTTTTCTGCGATTGACAAGAAATTTCAAACTTTTGGACCGGCCGACATCAGGGCACAAAACTCAATATTGGTAGTTTAATTTTTAATCAGGTACGGTTCAATAGTTGCTATGGAATCAATAAATAACAGTACGGTAATCACTTTTCCGGCATAGGCCGGGAAAGTGATTCCCGTACAGCTCATTTTCAGGAACAACACAACATAGATTTTTGAAGTATTTTGTAAGATATATTGTAAAGATGTGACCAAAGCCGAATAATTATTCGGTATTCGGCCTATTCGGCGTTATTTTCGCTATTCGGTATTCGGCCGAATACTCGATTTTCACTACCGAATATTTCATGTTTGGATATTTTACTGAATTTTTCAACATATGTATTTTAAATTAATAATAATTTGAAAAAGAAAATGAAAATACAAACTTCTGGGCCCTTATATTCGAAACAGGGGAGCAGTGTTCTCACGAGAACAGAGGTTCTGTCTAAGTCATTTCATATTTCCATAACACTGATTTCTCGTGAAAACCGTGTTCCCCGGTTTCAAGAATAAACATCTTGGCGTTAAGGAATTCGACTTAAGAGGCCAGCAACAAATTCAAGCGCGCGAAATTCATTCTTTGTCGCCGAGTTCAAAGTAGGACCGTGATAGACGACGTTACGGCAAATATTTCCGAGATAACGGAAGGGTGTGATCAAATTGCATGGAAGGTGAATAATAAATCCTATGGGCTTTTGTGGAGGCAAAACTAATACACCTATCATATTTAATATAAATTAAAAAGTATACAGTTATAATAATAGTTTTATAATTTACATTGTGCTTTTTATTTAACAAATAAGAATGTGGAGAATGAAATGTGCGGAAACACAAAAATATATTACGAAGATAATAAAATTTACCTATACAAATACAGCGAAATAGATACTTGAAATGTTTACACCAAAAAAAGTGAGGTGGCGTAGTTACGAGGGTGGAAGAGATGATGTTTATTCGTTTATTACATAAAAAACTTCCAGAAAACCTAGAAAAATAATAAAAAGGAAAAGTGTTAATTTCACACATTGGTGAGATTGCTCATGAAAACCTCGGACACATCGATTTTTGATTTCAGTTGCCGTTTTTCTGATGGTAATATCATGTATACAGGGTGACCCAGAAACAAGTTGTGACAGCTAACTTTATTTTTTTAAATGAAAACATTAATTTTGAAGTGAAAACTTCTTTAGAATCGTTGGGAGTGATGTCAGACTCGATGAAACGAAAAAGCGACATGAAACGAAAAAGCGACACTTTTTTAACACGCTTATATTAACACACAACAAGAACCTGGAACAAGCCAAGTGAGCTGGAACAAGTCTGGAAAATGTCTGGATAAATCTGGATGAAGTCTGGAAAAGTCTGGAAATCTCTGGAAACGTCTGGAAAGAGCCTGGAAATTTCTGGAAAGGGTCGGAAAAATTCTGCCAAAGGTCCCAAAAGACCTGGGGATCATTCTCCAGAATCCCGATCAGTCTGTACAAGTCTGGATTAGGTCTGGATAAATCTGGCAAAAGTCTCTAAAACTCTGGAAACCTCTGGATAAGTCTGGTTATTGTCTGGAAAAGTCTGGAAAAGACTTGGAAATTTCTGGAAAGGGTTGGAAAAATTCTGAAAAAGGTCCCAAAAGACCTGAGGATCATTTACCAGAATCCGTATCAGTCTGAACAAGTCTGAATAAAGTCTGGATTAATCTGGATGAAGTTTGGAAAACTCTGGAAAGCTCTGGATAAGTCTGGATAATGTCTGGAATTCTCTGGAAACGTCTGGAAAGAGCCCGGAAATTTCTGGAAAGGGTCAGAAGAATTCTGCCAAAGGTCCCAAAAGACCTGCGGATCATTTTCCAGAATCTGGATCAGTCTGTACAAGTCTGGATAAGGTCTGGATAAATCTGGATAAAGTCTGTAAAACTCTGGATAAGTCTGGATATTGTCTGGAAAAGTTTGGAAACATCTGGAAAAGACTTGGAAATTTCTGGAAAGGGTTGGAAAAATTCAGAAAAAGGTCCCAAAAGACCTGGGGATCATTTTCCAGAATCCGGATCAGTCTGAACAAATCTGGATAAAGTCTGGATTAATCTGGATGAAGTCTGGAAAACTCTGGATAAGTCTGGATAATGTCTGGAAATCTCTGGAAACGTCTGGAAAAGGCCTGGAAATTTCTTGAAGGGGTCGGAAAAATTCTGGAAAAGGTCCCAAAAGACCTGGGGATCATTTTCCAGAATCCGGATCAGTCTGTACAAGTCTGGATAAATCTGGATGGAATCTGGAAAACTCTGGGAAGCTCTGAATAAGTCTGGATAATGTCTCGAAAAGTCTGGAAATCTCTGGGGCTGACACGCTATTATAATACATCGAACTAAAAAGTGAAAAATAAATGTATTTTAAAAAAACTAAAAAACACGCTTTTATAGTAAATTGAACTAAAAAGTGAAAAATAATTTTTAATAGAAACAGAAAATATTAGAATTATTGTCAAAAAAGCGTGGGGTGCTCAATGTATGAAAAATGTGGAACAAAGGACCCCAGCGTGTATTTTAGGTTTTTCAAACTATATTTATTTGCGTTCTTTCTCAAGTCTTTTGGAGGGGGAGGACGCCACTGTGTATGTTAGTATGTGTGTAATGCATGCAGTTCGATGAAGGTTTCACTTCTACCGGGTGTGAACTGCACAGGATTTTTTTTAATTTCATTTCTTATTTCTACGTTACATTCTGAACTTATTTTATGTATCATGTCCTATACCTATCTTCAACTGTTTCGGAAATAATAAGAGTTGAAAATTTACTTTTTTGCAACTTTGACAGGCTTTAAAACCTGAACGGTTGATTTTAGAGCTAAACCGATCATACATTCTTTTCTGAATTTTCCATGAACTATCATTTGACACCAGCTTGGAAATTAATCCAAGATTAAAAATTCCATTGCTTGAGTTGTATTTTAGCTATTTTTGGGTTTGAAAAAAGGACGGTTCTAGAACGGTTCAAAACAATCGCACAGTTTATTATTGAAATTTGTGATAGCTGAACCGTTGTCATTTAGTTGATTGATGAACTGTGCGATTGTTTTGAACCGTTCTAGAACCGTCCTTTTTTCGAACCCGAAAAGAGCTTTTATGAGAGAATTTCATGAATCAAAAATTTAAATTTTTTGTCAAAAAATGTTAAAACACCAGTGTCGGGCCAATTATCGCGTGAAGCCTAATTCTCACTTGCGCGAGATTTGCTCTTTTTTGACATTGCTTCAATAATTTGACGTTTGATACACGCATAAAACGTAAATCAACAATCAAAACATGTCAGTTTATTGTTGGAATGTCAGTTTTGACAGATGTATGAAATTCTAAATGTCGAGTGCAATGGAATTTGTCGATAATTTTTGGGAAATTTGCCCGGATGCATTTTTAGTTAAAAAGGAGCACCAGTGCTTTTTCAGTGCCCATTTCTGTCAAAAACGCATGAGTGCAAATTTGTCAAAAATTGAAAATATATTTCCATTGCACGAGTTGTACAGGGTGGCCCGTTTAAGAGGGGCCTATACCTTATCTCGAAATCTACGAGGGCTGCAAAAAAAAATTAAATACAAAAGTTGTTTCTAATAAAATTATCTAAATTTTTTTTGCATTGTTTTTGTGTTTTCACTGTACTATATACAGGGTGGAGAGATAAAATTTAATTTTTTTTAATGAAACACCCTATATTTCAAAACACTTTCATATAGCCCTTTGAAAGACAAATCCAACGATATATTTGACATGTGTCATGATGTGTCTGTGATAAACCGTTTCGAACTTATTAGCGATAATCTTCAGGATCTGGGGTAATTTCAAACAGGCATTATTACGTTACTCATAAACTTTTAAAACTTTTTTTTGCATGCTATTTTTCATAAAATAATGCTCTTCTTTAGACTATTTTGAAATTTGGAATATTTGTTCAAAAAACGCCGTGTTGCCACGTTTCGCAAAATGTTACGCTTTTCAATTTTTTTAAATGGGACCTCCTGTAAATTTTCGAATTTTTGGATAGCCCTTTAAAATACAAATTCAACGATATACTGGAAATGGGTTTGTGATACACCGTTTCGGCCTTATTGGCGATTATCTTCAGTTCTAGCACCATATTTTATGTCATCCCTGTTGAATAAAGAAAATGTCTAATTTTGCAGTAGATTAGCTGAAATAGTGCTCTTTATTATTATTATTCATTCAGAAGTAGTTAAGAAAAAACGTTTAAGTTTTTGTTTTCATTAGTTTCTCGCCTTAATAATGGGGAGAAACTTTGACTACTCTTTGAACAAATGATAATAAAAAAATATTTCGCAAATTATTTAATAATACCTACTGCAATAAACTATAGTTGCAGTAAACAAGGAAAGCATTGAATTATAAAGTCCAAAATAAAGGTTACTGATTAAGATTAAATAAATAAACATTTTGAGAACTTCAACTTCAGGCTAACTATAAAATTAATTTAATTAAATTCTCTGTGTCCGCCATTTTCAACAATACAGGTAATATATCTTACTTGTAAATGTGTTATCGCATTTAACACGTAATTAGGTTGATCTGACAAATATAGCAACACAGCGTCACGTTTCATTTTTTGTTTTTATCCAAATTTCTCGCCTTTTTTATTTTAATAATGGGGAGAAATTTTGACTACTTTTTGAATAAATAATAATAATAAAAAGCACTATTTCAGCTAATCTAATGCAAAATTGGACATTGTTTTTTATTCATCAGGGATGACATGAAATATTGTGCTAGAACTGAAGATAATCGCCAATCAGGCCAAAATGGGTGCATCACAGACCCATGTCCAGTATATCGTTGAATTTGTATTTTAAAAGGCTATCCAAAAATTCGAAAATTTACAGGATGTCCCATTTAAAAAAAAATTGAAAAGCGTAACATTTTGCTAAATTTCAGTATAGTCTAAAAAATAGCATCATTTTATAAAAAATATCACGCAAAAAAAAAGTTTCAAAAGTTTATGAGTAACGTAACAATGCCTGTTCAAAATTACCCTGAATCCCTGAAGATAATCGCTAATAAGTTCGAAACGGTTTATCACAGACACATGTCCAGTATATCGTTGGATTTGTCTTTCAAAGGGTTATGTAAAAGTGTATTACGATATAGGGTGTTCCATTTAAAAAAATTAAATTTTATCTCTCCACCCTGTATATAGTACAGTAACAACAAAAACAATGAAAAAAAAAATGTAGATAATTTTATTAGAAACAACTTTTGTATTTAATTTTTTTTTTGCAACCCTTGTAGATTTCGAGATAAGGTATAGGCCCCTCTTAAACGGGCCACCCTGTACAGTGTTTCCGCTTCAGTTCGCAACATATGGGAAACTTTTTTATTATCAATTTTACAAAAAAAAGTTATTGTTTATGAAAGTTTCTGCTTCTTGAAAAAATATATAGTATTAAACTATTAAAACTTAGAATAGCATGTACCGGGTGTTCTTTTATCTTTGATATCATTTTGATCACCTGTAACTTTTTTGTTTTCAAAGATATCAAGGTAAACAAAAAAACAAAATGTAGGATTAATAGCCAAGTTTTTTTTCAAGTTACACATGAAACAAAACATCAAAACACTATCAATTTTTTGACGTATAAGCCTACATTATATTTTTTTTATTTTGGTTTCATATCGAAGTCTTTTCGACACTAAAAGTAGTTTCGAAAAGAAGCTCTTTGTGACACTCCTTTTTCACTTATCGGAAGTTGGTAACACTGGCTGACTGATGGCCATCGCACTGTCATTCTCGATTTTATAGAAGATTTAGGGCGAGTATTATAAAACTGCTTTGACAGTTAACTTAAAGTTAACTTTTTGAATTACATGGAACACCCGGTATATTATATGTGTGTACGTTAGAGCATATTATTCTGATTACAATGATATAACACACTTCATATTTTGTTCCACTCGTTTTTGACAAATCGGCAAAAATATATGAAATTTTTATATGCTCTCAATAATTTTCGTCCCAAATATCAGACCGCGCCGCCTAATAAGTTTCACTTCGAAAGTTTCATATTTTTGCCGATTTGTCAAAAACGAGTGGACCAAAATATGAAGTGTGCTATATCATTGTAATCAGAATAAGATATTCTATCGAACACATATATAATATACAGGGTGTTCCATTTGAAAAAATATAATGTAGGCTTATATGTCAAAAAGTTGATAGTGTTTTGTTTTACGTGTAATTTGAAAAAAAACTTGGCTACTAACCCTACATTTTGTTTTTTTGTTTACCTTGATAACTTCAAAAACAAAAAAGTTACAGGTGATCAAAATGATATCGAAGATAAAAAAACACCCGGTACAGGGGGATTAAAAAATAGGAAAATATGCAGGGTTTTTTGGTAAAAGTAGAAAAAAAATGGCACATCACTATTTTTTTAAACCTTTGATATTTTTTTCAGATTAAGCAAGTCATATTTCAGTCAAAAGAAACCTTTCGTTATCACAAATCAACCTGCCAAATTAAAAAAAAAAAAAAAAAATGGAAAAATTTTTGAGCTAAAAAAACGATTTTTTTCTAAAACTTTGACACCCTGAATCTCAGAAACTACGCATTTCTGGTCATATATTTATGGGAACTTTTTTTGTTAAAATATCGTAAGGAATGACATCCTGAAGTTACGGACCGTATTTAGGAAATACCCTGTATATTTTTCTATTTTTTGACCACCCTGTACATGCTATTTCAACTTTTAATACATAGTTTGATATTATTTTTTCAAGAAGCAGAAACTCTTATAAAGGATAACTTTTTTTCGTAAAATTGATAATAAAAAAGTTTCCCATGTGCTGCGAACTTAAGTGGATACACTTGTATTTTATGAGAAAATGTCATGAATCAAAATTTTTTTGTCAAAACACCAGTTCTTGCATTAGTTACTATGCAATAATTTACACGAATATAAATTATCACGTAATTCCAATCTGATTGGTTCAAATCAACAATCAAAACATGTTAGTTTATTGTTGGTATGTCAGTTTTGACAAATGTATGAAATTCTCGTCAAAAAAACGGCCACTAAAATCAAAAATCGACGTACCCGAGATTTTTTGAAAAAAAAATCAACCTTGTATTTTTGATGGATTTTATTCCTAACCTTCACGTACTAACTGTATTTAACTATGCTATATGATATCTTCTTTCGTTTATTGAATTCTAGTAGTTATCTTTGTTCGTTGTTCGTTTTGAGTTCATTATGAAATATATTCACCATAATTATTTACACAAACTAATAACTGGCCTTGCAGTCCTCTCGCGTTGTGTGATTTTTACTTACCCCGGTGCGAAATTAAATCCGCCAGAGGCAGCACCTCGCTGCAGCCAAAATTTTTGAATTTCCGTGTTTGCAGGGCTTACAATTTGAGACGAGATCTTAAAAACTACTAAATATTTTTTAGTGAATCAAGAAGATTCGAAAAGATAATAAAATTTAGAACAATGCTCTTGTTTCATTTTTTTTAAAAAAGCGATGGGTTTGGATGTACCGAGCGATAGAAATGATGCTTTTTTTCGAGTATTTAGGTCGTGATATTTTCAATTTGCAATTTTTTTTTCGAAAAACTAAAACAACAGCATTATTCTTTAGATTTTTATCTTTTATTATTTTCTAATCCGATCAAAAAATATTACAAAATAAGTGAGTTCTCGTCTCGGGAAATCAACCCTTTTTCTCAATTTTTAACGGCTTGTTGTTGGCCTCTTAACAAAGAATATAATGAAAAAATATTAGTATAGCAGAACAATAAGGAGTAGAAAAATCAATATTGAAAATCAATAAGTGGTGGGTTATGATGAAAAACCAAAATGCTCCGCTCTAAGTAATAACAGATTCCTTCTATTCTTGTACAGGTTTCCAGCTTCTGAGAATAGTCACTCACTAGTCAACGGTACTTGGAGGAGCTTATAAAATAGACCTTTCCAAGCTAGCTCATTTTTGGATATTTTATACAGTATTTCTTCCACCAAGAAAATGGACAATGGTCTTTGTCTAAAATTTTACCTGATAAATAAGCCTCTAACTTAATTGCAATTTCGTTTTTGCATTGGAGTGATCAAAGTCCTTATTAGTCAAGGCTATTTCTTTATGATATTTGAGCTCTGACATGCTTTAATAACTATTCGGTATTCGGCCGAATATTCGGTTTAAATTCAGCCGAATATCCGGTATTCGGTTATTCGGCCAAACTACTATTCGTCACATCACTAGTATATTGTCATAGACTCTCTGTGACGGGGGGTGTAGGGTGGATAGATGGAGAGAAACTCGCTATGTTTTTATATAAAAATATGTATATTTTCTAAGAAGTCATTACGTCATGAATCCTTGATACATGCTCTTCTGTGGGAAGGGCCACACGTTTGTCGCTACTTAGGAAGGAATGTCTGTTTGATGTTTGATACTAATGTCACGTAGAATGTTCGTCGTCGTTTAACTGATCCTCATCTAGAGGGGTTTTCCCAGGGTGGCGGTACTTGCACTGGTTCAAGTCTGCCTGTTTTTTGGCTTGGCCCACTATTTATATCAATTTATTGCTGAATTACAATAAACATCCGATCGAATCGGCAATTAAATTAATAAGGTTGAATACCAAGTCATCCTTTCCTAAGTCGCTAGTTGACAATATTAAACTATTAAAATTAAAATTTAATATTAAACGATTAAACATTCATTCACATTCTCATTATTTCAAAAAATTTCTCATTTTTTTCATCACTAAGCGATCGCAGAAAAAATAGTGGATATACAGTATTTCGGAGGAAAAGCACATTCTCGGCATTCAGTGTTTGCCGGCCTCAACGTGTCACTTTTCTACCTAAATACAAAATATACAATTTTTGAAGATAGCCTGTGGGTACTATTTTGTTCAACAAATCTTATCAAATTTACCATATCGGCTTTTTTTTTTAAGCCTCTTTATTTTAAATATTTGCCTTCAACTTGGCAAAAGAATTTCATGCAACGGTTTAATTTGGAACAAAACTGCACTTCCCTATCAGGAATTAGGAAATTACAATTAATTTATCTTTTTGCCGCGACCGGACTGCCAAAATCTGTTTATTAATTTATTTAAAATTAATAATATGATTGTTGGATTTTTTTTTTTGGATAAATAAATATTTTGGAAGAGAAAAAACGGCTTCGTAGCCTTCTACTGCTGCTTAAAATTTTACCGCCGGGTTTTTTGGAACCCCCCTAAATCGGGCACTGCTCATGGTCATAAGTAAACTCTTATCCAATTTATATGGAGTAAATACTTAAATAGAATGAAGTACCTTTAAGCTAATACTTTTTTTTATTCAATAGACTCGAGTCACTACCTGAATCAAAATTGGGTGGCAAGAAACAAAAAAAAAAAAAATGTAGCACCTTGAATAAGCAAGCACTTCTGTGCAAATTGCAAAATATACCAACCATTAATGGTTCAGGTGAAAATGAAAATTCATGTTGTTCAACTTGTTCACCTGCAACTTTCAAATCATGAAAGATGAACCTTCAGCTTGCCTTCAAAATCTGGTTGATCAGGATTGGGACCTTTGCATCTGAAATAAATGTACAAAATGCAAAACATTGCAACTTTCAAATAAGTATTATGAATCGTTAATAGAATAAAAAAAATACATTTGATTCCTAAATTATTCTAGGTGCTTGTAGATTTTTGTAAAAGTTTCTTTTCCTCATTTGTTAAGTGAACAACTATCCATTACAACTGGCTTCACAGAGCCTTTACAAAAGACTACATGAAACATTATGTTCGTCTGAAATCTACAGTCTTTTTTTCATTAGGGAGCCACTTTACGAATTTAAATCATGCAGCCATCCAACCATAATGATCGATATGTGTGCAGAATGTGGAGCCGATTTGCGGAAGGACGATAATATAAAAACCAAAACCACAGCTTCTGTTCCCATGATCCATGCCATTCCTGAGCTAAAAGTGAGCGAAGAGGTATGTAAAGCAGCTCTATTTAAAAATTGGCCGTATTTTTACAATGTCTTTGTAGCAAGCTCAAAAAATAGGCCAGGCAGACAATGACAGATTGATAAAAGACAGGAAACTTGTTCTTTTGGTGGATTTGGATCAAACACTTATTCACACCACAAATGATAATATTCCGCCTAATCTTAGAGATGTTTATCATTTTCAGCTGTATGGTCCTAAATCACCTTGGTACCACACGAGGTAATAAAATGTACAGAAGAAAGTAATTGGAAGTTAATTATCGTTCTTTTCCAGATTAAGGCCTGGTACACATAAATTCCTTAATTCGATATGTAAATTTTATGAGCTGCATATCTGTACCTTTGGTGCAAGAAACTATGCTCATATGATAGCAGAATTTTTAGACCCAGATCAAAAGTTCTTTTCCAATAGAATTTTAAGTAGGGATGAGTGTTTTGATCCTACAAGTAAAAAAGCTAACCTAAAGTAAGTTTCCGCTGGATAAAGAGTTTTTTTTAATATCTTTAATGTTATTTCAGGGCACTATTTCCTTGTGGTGACAATATGGTCTGCATTATAGATGATCGAGAAGATGTGTGGTCTTGTGCACTAAATCTTATTCACGTCAAACCTTACCATTTCTTTCAGCATACTGGCGACATTAACGCCCCACCTGGATTAGACAAACACGAGGCTGATGATAAAGACGGTGTGGATTTAACAAAAATTGTCAAGAAAGCTTTAAAAAAAAAGGAAGTTGAAGAAATAGAGATTAATCAAGAAAAAAATGTGACTAAAGATATAGAAGACAAAAATGAATCTTCAATAAATAAAGACACTAATGGTGAGGATAAAAAAGATAATGTTGAAAAGCTTTGTAAATCTAAAGGAATGGAGGACATTCAAAATTATACCATTGTTAAAACAGAAAAAACTAATGAAAAAATGGCTGCGTCTGAAGAAATAAAAGAAATTCAAATTGAAAATAAAGAAAATCCGGAAAATGATGAAAAGGCAGAAAAGGATAATGAGGCTTCAGAAAATAATAAACAAGCTACTGGTATTCATCAAGCAGATAATGATCTATTATTAAAAGATAATACCATTCAAAAAATAGATAATGAAGAGGCTTCAAATGAAACTAAAGATAAACCCTCAGAATCAGAAAACAATGGTGAAAAAATTGTGCATGAAAATAATCAAAAACTTGAAGATAAGGACATTGCTACGCCTCAAATACCTAGCCAAGAAGACTTACTCATTGATATTGAAGATCCAGATGATTATCTTACCTATTTAGAGGATATTTTGAGAAGAATCTATAAGGTGTATTATGAGTTGCTAGATAACATGGAATCGGGAAAAATCCCCGATTTAAAACGAGTTATTCCATGTAAGTTCACAAGTATCTTTTTTAAATTTGCACTTAAGTCTAAGCTTGAGGACAGTCCTCACAAGTGGATTCTAGTTTTACCCATAACACATAACACTTCAATGATTCAGTCAAACTTTCTCATGTCACTTTAGCAAAAAGATGTAAAAGAAAATGTTTTGAATTCTCTTGTCAAGGAAGTCCAAGTTGCTAGTATCACTATGTCTGAAGGCTGACCTAAATAACAAAATTAAGACTATAATAGCGTATTTCATTGGTAGGGCAAGTGCAACACTCGTTTTGCACTGACACTTTAAAAAAACTGCACGCATGCAGTCCCAATGAAACATCATCGTACTGCACCATCCCATGTACGTCAAACCTCAAATATGGAATTTCATTAAAAAAATGATATTTGTGCTTATTATAAATAATTATTATAACTTAGAAAAGAATGAAATTTTGTCAGTTACAACAACCGAAAAGCGTGGTACTTGAAAATGAAGAGAAAGTTAAGGAAAATTGGAGGATTAAAAATTTTGGTCCTGGGCGGGATTGGAACCCGCGTCCTCAGTATTGCATTGCCGGTACTACGCTCTAACCAATTAAGCCACCATGATCCTACAGATTTTTTCGGTTTTTGTTTGGTGTTGTTAGAAGTTGCGTGGTTCTCCGCTCATTGCCAAACTTCTCAATCCTCCAATAGACCCACATGTTTGGGTGTTAAGTCTACTACCTGAACTTTTCATCCCATGTTCCATCTTTATACTTCAAATGCCTTTTTATAAGACAAGCGGTTGGAAGCATCTCTCATTATGATTTTTTTTTGGCGGTAACGTCAACAGAATTACATCATCTTCTGCTTATTTTCCAAGACCAAGATCCGCAAGGTGTCTCACCGTGCGTTCGTTATTTTGGTCTGAGTTCTCCGAGCATGACTTTACCGTTCGTTTATTTAAAAAGTGTACTCGGTGCAGCCTCATTCGCGTTCGTTTATTAAAATTTCTGGCACTTTTATATAGCGTTCAACTGCTCTGTTCCCTCGCTGGTCACGTGATTACGGCTCCACTCAGCACGCTCTGCTCTTCGAGCAAAATACCGAACGCAAGGTCAGTCGCTTGTTGAGGTGCTCGGATTGGAATGACCCCACTGCTAACTCAACTTATGCTTTAGACATTTGCAGAGGTTTCAGGCGTTCATGAAATTTACGTCCGCTGTATCTCAACCAATGAACTATTCGACTGTCCTCAACTGCTTTACGCTACAAGTTAGCTCCTGATTACTGGTGAACGTACCCATTGCCTTGCAGGAACGCGCTTTTATTAATTTTTGATCGGAACCATAGAGAAATATAATAGTAGTAAACTACGAGAGACGTTTGTTATGTACCAATCTGGAAGTGTGTTTGTGCACATACCCGTAGCGTATTTCGCATGGTGTGGCAGATTATTGAACTAATTACTTCAATCGTTTCTGACAACTCGGTTTAATTTGTCTTTGTCAGCAACTTGCCCGAAAATGTTCTATCTTTTTTTAACACATACCAAATGCAAAATTGTCAAAATTTGACAAATTATAGAATCGTCTATGATTGAATCACAAAACATCCCCCCTTAGAAAGGTAAGTGCCGTGTTGAGAACCTGTCTATAAGTTTTCAGCGCCTCTAGTGACTGGGGGGGTAAGCTTTTGTAATTCTGGATTTATTGGCGAATGCAAAACGCAGTTAGGGTTCGTTCGGTATCTTATTTGTTCCGGTGGATCGTTTGCACCATTGTTTGATTCTAGCGATTCAACACCACCACTTTAAAGTTTCTACCATTTTTTGGCATAAAATAATTGTGCCAAAAAGAAGAAACTCATAAAATCGGTAGTGTTGAAGCGCCTTCAAGGTAAAATTGACTAAAAATTAAGATGACAAATTTAGATATTTATTAAAGTTTGAAACAGAAAATATTAAAGAATATGGAATTAATTACAATTATTGCGAAACAGTTTATGTAAGTATACATACATAGGTAGGTAATGCTGTTAAGTTAAAGATAATGACAGTTACAAGAAGTAATGACGTACATTTAACAATAGCTTGATGAAAAACTTAAATCGTAAATAAAATGACAAAAGAGGTCCTTTTCTCACAATCCGAAATCGTTGTTAACCTAACAAGTGAGGAAAGTGTTTCTGCACGTGATGGAAGTTGCACGAATGACAACAAAAAGCAGAGTTCAAACAAGCCTTTAAGTCCAGAAAATACACTTTCCGCATGTGTTAGGTAGAAAGTTTATGTAGTTATACATAATATAAAGCTCATTCAAGAAAATGATTTCGCCTGGATGATAGAATAAATATTTTTGATAATAGTCTATACCCTTTACCACTAGCTTTAAACAAAGACAACGCCAACAACTTCTCGTCCAATGTAAATCGTCTAGCTTTAGGCTTTTGGTTTTGAGTACGGACTTGGCTTAAAATAAAGCTGTATATCAATGGATTGACGTGGTCGACAAGCCTTTGAAATGATGCAAGTTATTCAGCAGCAGAAACTTTGGATTTAAATGACGACAACCTTCTACTGATTCTTCTTAACTTATTGCTGGATTCTATAACTTTGGAATAAAGATATTTTTCCCTTGGGGATAGGAATTTTTTGCCTAGTGACGTTAATGTTCTTTATAATTTGGCATCGTCTCTCAGGACCTGCAAAAAAAATAGATCAAGATTGGAGACGAGTTTTTCGCACATTTAGCTTCTAATTTTTCTAGCATTCGACTGCAAGTTTTAGTAATTAGTAGTCTTTTATAGTAGTAGTCCTACTTGAGTTAGGATGTTTTAAAATTCACCTACTCCCAACTGGGTGGTTATTCATTAAGCAATAACACTTAGGTACCTACCAATAAAAGTTTTAAGAGACAAAGTTGGTTGGTGACTTTTTCATGTTTGCAGATGTGATGGTTCCACTTGGTGTAGCAATGTCTGCCCGAATTGCAGAAGTTTCAGTAGATAAAAATTGACGACATGAAGGGTCTGGTTGATCTAAAACAGAAATTTCGTTACCAATGATTCTACCAAAAAATTTTGGATACATGCATTGTAGAATATGGTGTACCTGTATGTAACCAGGAATTTTTTAATTATTGTGTCTCCTGATAAAGGAATAAACATTTAAAAACAAGAAATGAATAATATTAGCTTTGTTCCAACACAGCAGAAAACCGTACAATGTACCGTCACGATTCTGCGCAGAAACTAAAATTGTTATACTGAGTGGTTTCGAAACCGTTCATGGGACGATTTTTTGACGTGTTGGAACAGAGTTATTATGTTTACCTACCTATGTCAATCATAGTTGCGAAACTAATTTCTGAAGGCGTCTTAGGACTCTTCGACGAGTTTCAACTTTGTCGATCTCCACTTTTTGCCATTTTGGTGATTGTGGTTTATCAATTAACGACTCCTCACTGTTTTTGATAATTGGGGCTAAAATTAAAATTAATTTTAATGTTTCTGACCTATGCTCCTTTAAACCCGAATTCTAACACGTTGTCGTTAATCAGAACTATGGGGAGGAGTAAGTGAAAATGTAAGTACGTCTTTCTCACATATATCTAGTATTAACTTACCTTCAGGGAGATACAGCAAAAGCGCAGCATTCCATGTGAGTCCTCGTCTGGCTTTTGGATCGCCAACAATAAATTCTCGAGGAAAATTTCATGTTCACGCTCTATAATTATTATAAGCCTTCTCGACACTGAGGCTATTTAGTAAAGGATTGCGAACTTTTTATAGCCATTGTTTCATTTTTTCGGCATCTTTTGGAAACCGGAAATAGCTGCTGTATTTGTCGCCGCACCCCGGAACACAGCATTTCTGATGCTTTTCAATTAACAAACTGGGAGAAGACATTTTGAGATAATAATTATTGATAATTGATAGGTAATTGATAATTCTAAATGTTGGGAGAAGTTCAAAATTTAAATTTTGACGACTGGAAATGACAAAATAAACTTCAAATCTTGGCGCACGGTCCGGCAGGAAAAAGAAAACTTTAATAGGTTGATTGAAGCGCCTCTAGTGATTGGAGGGGAAAGCTGAAACGACTAGACTGACGTCTCTCATAAGACTTACATTTCTAAGGGGGGATGTTTTGTGGATTGAATCCGAAAACCATCAATCAAAAACTGAATGCTAATCATCATAGCTTAAAATTTCTTCTATCATTTATATTAGAGAAATGAGGAAACATTCTGTGATCATAAATATTAATTAATTAGACAAAACCGACACCAATAATAGTGTGTTTTCGAATTTGCGATGATGCGAGATGCAGTAAAAAGGTAAACACAAAGCTTATAATACAAACATTTTTAGTTACTGTATATTTATAAAATTGGAATAAAAAAATAAGTTTGTTCGAAGATATCTCAATTTTTGTATTGTTCAATTACCTCCTTGACCCCCTTAAGGAATCTCATTGCATCTAATTTGGATATAGTAATTTAATTATTCAAAAAAGCCGCCTTTTCACTGTCGGTAAAGAAGAAACCTGCATTTAAACAATGTTCACTCTTTTATTGCTGTCCGTAGCCACCAGAGGCGCTAACGTCGACATTGTGCCCGTTAAGTACAGGGGAATGACTTCTCTCGTAGTTTACTACTATTATATTTCTCTATGATCGGAACTAATTTGAATAAACCATTTTTTTTTTCGAATTTTAGTTGTCAAAAGAAAAGTTCTAAATGGCTGCAAACTTGTCTTCAGCGGCTTAGTTCCAACTCACTACAAATTAGAACAGTCAAAAGCCTTTCAAGTAGCAAAAAGTCTAGGGGCAGAAGTTCAAGCGGACTTGGATGACGAAACTACCCATTTAGTAGCTGTTAGGCCTGGAACTGCAAAAGTTAATGCAGGCCGTAGAAAGAAAAATTTGGCCATTGTCACTGCTGATTGGCTATGGTGTTGTGCTGAACGATGGGAACACGTAGATGAAAAAATCTTTCCATTGAACTCTAAAGGATCAAAAAACCGGCATCCGCCGCCTCATTGTAGCAGTCCAGAACATATTGCAAGTTATCCTGAACATGATACTCCAGCTTTGAGAAAGAGGACGCCTAGTGGTCGGTTTATGGATACTATAAACCCGTTGATGTCGTTTTCAAGTGATGATATTGCTAATATGGATAAGGAGGCAAGCATTTTTAATAAATATAACTACATTTTAATGCGAATTTAATTTAGGTAGGAGATATTTTGGATGACGAGTCAGACGATACTGACGAAGAAAAAAAAGATCCAACAGATGAGGATGAAAATGATACAAATACAGAAGTTAACTTCAAACATATGATGCAGACACAAATTCTTGGCGCTTACACCGCTTCTAGAGATTGGGAGGATGATGATGGTGAGCAAAAACTTGCAAAAGAGTCAAGTGATGAAGATGAAGATAATAGTAAATCCCAGTCAAAACGAAAACGTACTTTAGAAGACTCGGATGAAGATAATAGTCAAGACTTTGAGCTTCCCAGTAGCAAATTTAGAAGAGGAGGAGATCTTTACGAGTTGGACGCTGAACGTGACGAAGATGATAATGACACTAGTAGTTTTGGGGCTCCAGATGAAGAAGATGAGGGCGAATGGAACATGATGGGTGCTGCTTTGGAACGAGAATTTTTGTCTGACTGATATAATTAAGATTTTGTTTTTTTTAAAAAGTGCAAAATATTCATTCGTTACTTATGTAAATATTGTCCTAAACTTGTGTTTGGCAGTAATTTGTTTTCATAACTCTTTGCTTAGATTAAATAGTTGATCAATTGGTTTTGTTGCAACAAGATATTTCATTTGTCTCGAAATTATCTTATAATGTAAAAACAGCATTTTTCATATTCATGTACTCCGTTTACTGGCTTTGTTGAATTCTTTAATTCTATAGTAAGTTATCCAGTTGAAAATCTTTCATAAAATTCATCAATTCTTTTTTGACCCAGTATTGTGATTGTGAATAATGTGAGATATCGTTACAAATAATATACTTTAAAAGTTCAGTTGTCTTTCATTTCTCAATCCTATTGTGGTCAGATTTTAGGAAGATTTGTACTACATTAGAATTACGAATATCGGAGACATTACCGGCAGTTTCTATTGAACAAAGATGGAAGCCAAAAACTGACTTCCTATTACTGTTGGGTGTACAGGGTGGCCCAAATTCGAGCCTCATCATTGGGATCTCGGTAACCGTAAGAGGTAAAGGGTCGGTTAAATTATGGCAAAGTTGCGCAATTTTATGACCAATAGAATGCCGTTTTGAAACTAGAAAGATTCCGGAGAGAAAAAACCGAATTTTTGTAAAATCGTTTTTATTTTTTCCCGGGCTTATTTGAAAAGCAATTTCAAAATAAATGTCACTTCATCGTTGTCACTTTTTCCCCTTCAGAAGATGGTGCTTCTAAATTTAAAATTCGACGTTTCGTCTTCAGGCGGCCATCCTCAACTTACGTTTTTTAAATACAGACCTAGATTTTTCATTTGCGATTTTGTCATTCTAAAACCGATACTGTTTATAATTTTTCAATAACAGTAAAAAAAGCAGGTCCGTATTTAAAAAAATAAATTGATGATTATTCCAGAGGAACGAAACGTTGGATTTCAAATTTAATACCGCCACCTTGTAGAGAAGAAAAAGTGACAATGGGGATGTAAAATTAGTTTTTCAAAATCTTTTTAAATGGAATCAGGAAAAAATTTAAGAAAAACGAGAAATTCATGTTTTTTTCGTATAGTTTTCATTTTTTCCCGATTTTATTTAAAAAGATTGTGAAAAATTAATTTTACATTGTCACTTTCTCTTCTCTACAAGATGGCGGTATTAAATTTAAAGTCCAACGTTTGCTTCCTCTGGAATCATCATCAATTTATTTTTTTTAAATACGGACCTGCTTTTTTCACTGTGTTATTGAAAAATTATGAACAGTATCGGTTTTAGGATGCCCAAAGATTGATCCTAAGGCAACCCCTTTGCTGTCAACCATGTAAAAATTTTTCCATTGCATGAAACTTGTTATAAGTGAAGAAGAGTAACAAAAATCATCAAATAATCAACCTAAAGATCAAATAGAACAAGAAGAACAATTTTCTGCCGAAGAATACCAGATTCAAGATGAAACTAATCCACATTTGGAGATACCAAACCAAACAGATACCTACAAGTCTGGAAATGATAGATCCGACAGAAAAGCGAACCACAGGAGCCAGTAATCTACAAAGATGCTATTACTTGCATTGATAAAGACAATTGAATTTTGGCAATTGATAAAGAAATACAGTCACTACAAGAAAATTGTACTTGGGAGGTTAAGAGTTTACCACCAGTAAAGAAGGCAGTACCATGTAAGTGGGTGTATATAAAGTGAGAACCAATCCAGATGGGTCCATTGACTTGACAAGTGCGGAATGCTAGGCTAATTATCAAAGGTTAATCACAAAGAAAAGGTGAAAATTACGACCAGACAGTCCTGTAGCCAAGGGAGAAACAATAAAGGTCACTGCTCAGTATTGCTGCTAGCAAAGAATATGACACTCGACCACTCAGTTCGATGTATGAACTGCATTTCTCTATGGAAAACTAAATGAATAAGTCTATATGAAGCAACCAGAGGCGTATCAAGATGGGAGTAACATGATCTGTAACTTCAGCGCAGTCTTAATGGAGTAAAACAAGCACCTAGATGTTGGAATCAAAGATTTACAGATAACATAGAAGTTCTTGGTTTTAGAAGGTCAGATACTGACCCTTGTTAATGTCTTGAACGCTTCGGAATGCAAAACTGTAAGCCTGTATTGACGCTAATGGTGAAAGAAGGTGTACAATTAGGGAGGAATGGTGAAGAATTGAACACTTAACTACATTTTCATATGGAGAGGCTGTTGGGGCCTTAATGTTTTTGATAACAAGCACTCGACCAGACATTGCCTGTGCAGTTAAGTTAGTGTTGTTTCGCGGAAACTTGAGAATCCCTCATACAGAGACGTTGGAATAGTTAAAAGAATATTACGTTACCTAAAAGGTTCCATTGAGATTGGTTTGATATATAAACCAGGATGTTTTGTGTTTCACTTCGGAAAATAGTGGACTGGTTTAATGAAACACTTTTAGAGACATTTCACAACTTTTTGATCCCTATCAAAGTAAATACAAAATATAAACCTAAAAGCTCAACTACTGCGATTAATGAAAACAATATAATAATATTAAATTTTCTATCTGATGTCACTATTATTTATTTTTTTTAAATCGCTCGTACACGTAATTTGATTGTGGGCGTTTGAAACATTTTCAGTACTTACTTAACCCTCTATATAGTTGGACCCACCCTTACCATTCCAAATAGAACAAGGGGTCGAGTGATACCTGTTTTAAACGAGCGTTTTCAAACGACATCAAATGAAAGAGAATTAAACGCTCTTTCAAAAGAGGTATCACTGGACCCCTTGTTCTATTTGAAACAGTAAGGGTTAGTCCCACCCCGCCTAGTGGGTTAAAGTTGAAGTGTCAAAAATGGTTGCAGAAAACTTACCCTTTTGAAAATCAAATTACGTGTACGAGCGATTTTTTTAAAAATAAACGTGGCATCAGATATTTAGCTTTTTTTTTTTCGTTTCGTTTTAAATGGTACACCCTGTATATTTAAGGGTCGTAACCGCGAAAGGCAGGTAGTTGAAAAAAAGGGCGTGCGATCTACACAAAATCTCAACGCCAAGTGGTCCTCTCAGGGATTTTATTTCAAAGCAAATTCTTATATCTAGGCAAAGACATCTAGCCTAGATGTCTTCTAGAGATGAGGTCTAGATGATCTAGGGTACAGTACAGACGGACAAGACAAGACAAAACCAATTCAAACTAGTTAGAAGGAGTCCGTGCAAAAGTCTAGGCCAGACTCACATAATGCATGATAATGCATAAGGAATGTGAACAGAAATAAACTTATAAAAAAGAGAATACAAAGCACAGAAGTACCAAAAGAAATTAAAGCCTTCAGTGGCGCAGAGCATGGATGAGGCGATGAAACCACAGGACGCTCAACTTCAGGGAGTTGTAGACAGACCTCAGTTGCCATATCAAACGGCTAAAGCTGAAATAGTGGCGGCTAGCGAAGCTGCTAAGGAAATTAGGCGGATGAAACGTTTGTTTGATGAAATTGTGGAGAGCCCTAGCCCTTACATCACGCCTGTCCATAAATTTAAATTAAAATAAGACTGAAAAAAAAAACAAATTAAAAGTTCCTTATTGCATGTTCGTAATTGGTTTTATTCAGTATACGTTTTATTTTTTAAATTCTTTTTGTATTTCAATCTGTTTTTTTTCAAATTTTGTGCGTTCATAAAGAAGAGAGAGTAATAAAAATGCAAATTTGGATAAATTTTGTACTGAGTGATCAATCACTTTTTCTTCTCTTTTAAAAATTTTCTAATGTACCTCAGGTAAAAATCCTTTATTTTTATATACCTCACCCTGTTCGTCGGGAGAATACAATATAAAGTGACCAGATCTTGAAAGTCCAAAAGCGGGACAAAGTTACAAAGTTCTCAAAAATCTCGTTTTCCTACGAGCGTGCGCAAAGTAGTACTTTTCCGCACGCATTACCGTTCTCAAAGTTACACTTTTCCGCACTTAGTGCGGATACGGGCCTTATCCGCACTGAGTGCCGAAAAGTAAAAATAATTGTCAAGCAACAATAAGTGCACCTGTCGACTTTGACACATGATGACAAATTTTTCCTCTGTTTATATATTAGCCAACATCTATACAAACACTGAATATAATTAACTTTGACACATTGTCAGATTTGTGTTCTCCATTTACATGCAAATGAATCTACAAACTTCTTTCGCATCAAGCGGGCGGTAACAAAATATCCGAGAGAATTTGTCACCTTTGACAGTGAACGAGTAGGTGGAGCGTTTGGTAATAACATTACCGCACGCTATTACAGCACGGCGTGCGGTAATATGGTACATGCAAAATCGTTCAACGGTATAATTAATGCTTGTGACTATTGTGAGCTCTGAGACCTGCGAAAACTTATAGATTTGAATGTTATATTGAAAGAAATAGTTTTTCAATAAAAAGTTGATAGTTGGAATTTATTGAAAGGGGGACAAAAGCAGGACGCTTATTAAATCGGGACTCGTAGCTCGAAATCGGGACTGTCCTGCCTAAATCGGGACGGATGGTCACTTTAATACAATAGAACCCAAAACTGAGAACAATAGAAGGCAAGAGATAAACTATTCTCATAGGCGCCGCAATTGGGGGAAACCCTCATTTCAAGTACCGTGGTTTATAGGTATTAGCAAAGAATATTATAGTTAACTATAGAAAACCTACGCTTATGGGCGACGGCAGACCGCTAGAGGCGCTGCTCCGGTGTTATAAATTGAAATAAATTATATTCTAGCTTTTCGGCAAACAAATTTTAACAGCGTTGCGCGATTCTCTCGGGCATTTATATTTTCTGTGATTTTACCTTGTAAGATGATGACTAACTGGCGCGGCGGTTTTAGAATTTTTTACATCGACATATTAGATGATACCTAGTTGCTACGTCTAATTTGCTGTATAAATAGAAAATATATAAACTAAAACAAAATTATGCTCTGCGTGAGATAGGGAATGTTGAGTGGAGTCATTTTTGAAGTGGAAACTTCTTTAGAATCGTTGGGAGTGATTTGAGACTCGATGAAACGAAAAAGCGACCCGATGAAACTAAACGAAAAAGCAACACTTTTTTAACACGCTTATATTAATACAAACACACAACACACAACAGGAACCTGGAACAAGCCAAGTGAGCTGGAACAAGTCTGGATGAAGTCTGGAAAAGTCTGGAAATCTCTGGAAACGTCTGGAAAGAGCCTGGAAATTTCTGGAAAGGGTCGGAAAAATTCTGCCAAAGGTCCCAAAAGACCTGGAGATCATTTTCCAGAATTCGGATCAGTCTGTACAAGTCTGGATAGGGTCTGGATAAATCTGGATAAAGTCTGTAAA